ATTTCTTCCACTCTCTCCAGATTGCGGATCTCCTGCTGGAGCAGCACCACCACTCCTCTCAGAGGCAGCAGCGTCAGAACCGGCAGCACCAGCTCCAGCTCCTTTACCGGGAGAATCAGAAGCTTCAGTACCAGGTTCATCGGAAGGAGGTAGAGGGCCTTCTTGAGCAATACTTCCGGCAGGTGTTGCTGTTTCAGCTGGTGCAAGCGTTTGCACGGAAGGCTTAGTTTGAAGTTGAATATGAGTACCCTCACCAGATGAACTACTAGCAACAGTAGGACAAGGAGCGCTAGTAGCACCATCAGGAGCAGGACAAGGAACTGGAGAAACAGCAGGACCAATAGTACCAGTAGAACCGGGATCACCTTGTGGATTCTGTTCCGTTAGACTGGTTGGAGAACATTGAAGATCGGAACCTTCAGGGCAACTGCTGTCAGTGTCACGATCCTTAGTTACGCAAGTGCCTTTCCCCTGAGATTCCAAACAATCATCAGTACGAGCAGCTTCACGTTCCCAAGTTTTATTCGAGCACTGTGAACCAACACCGCCTTCAGGACAAGCTTCATCGCCCCGAATACCAACATCAGTAAGAGGTGGAGGATGAGAGCCAGCAGGAAGTGGTTGTGGTTGTGAAACAGCAGGAGACGAACACTTTCTACCATCATTAGGAGAATCAGTCCCTTCAGCACAAGTACCAGCAGAATCAACTGCGAGAGAATCAGAAACCGCCTCAGCTGTCACACACAAAGAGACAACACTCAACAGCAAACCGAGAAAACACAACACACGAGACATCATCACGACAGCAAGATTTAGTTTGTAGTTATAGGCCACTTGAATGCAGAAGAAAGAAGAGGTAAAGATAATTAATACAAGCACTCAATACATTAGAAACACACACAGAGAGAAACAAAGGAGAGCACAACACACAATCAGTCACACAAAACAACATGAGGAGCAAACAAAAAAATTAGTAACACCGAAAAGACAATACTCCAACATCATTCATAGTTCAATTAAAGGACAAGCCCAGAGTATCCAGGATGAAACAAAAATAATCCCATATTTCCCAGAAATAGAAAAAAATATAAATTAAATATACGAACAGCTGATAAAGACAACAAACAAATATATAATAGTGTCTTCGCCTGTCAGTGTATATACAATTACAAATAAATATGTGTATATATGTTTTTTTACAACTTTTCTTTTACACAAACCAGAGAGAACAAACAATGCAGCACAAAGCACAGCGCACACAATAAAACACCAATAGTAAAAGAAAACAAATTAATAACAAGCCCACTTAACCAACTAAAGGAAAGACATACACCAAGTGTGAGTATAAATAGTAGTATACCCCATTACGCATGTACATATGCAAGCTATTATTATTTCATTTTTTCATTTCAAAAAGCAGACTATAGCATTATACTGGGTAAAGCATAAAGTAGCCCAAGCACATAGAATAGAGTAGCATATATAGAATATACAAAATAAAACAAAAGAAAAACACTAAGAAACAAAAAAAGAAGAATAGTCCCAACAGGTGAAAGATTAGTTAGACTGTAAGGATTCAAAAAAGAAGAAAAGAAAACAAAGGATGACCTGAGTCACACCATCACACCACCACCATCACAATCAGCACACAAGAATACAGGCCAGTGTCATCACAATCAGTAGTGGTACACGCACCCACACAGAACTGCTGATACTGCTGCTGCTGTCTGCATCACCCTTCTTGTTGTTTGTGAGTTCAGGAGGAAATGTCGTTGTTGTGGTGTTAGTGGTGGTGGTGGTCGTGTTTTCTGTATTTTCTGCAACCTCTTCTTGGGTATTTGTTGATGCACTCTCTGCAGATGAAGTGCCGTTCTCTGTTGTTTCAGTATCCGCAGCTGCGGCACTCCCCGTTGTTGAGCTGCTGGGAGA